TCCTCAGCCTTTCTCGTAGGTATAGTTTCTGTCAAACAGATGAAACATTGTTTTTTTTTCTTATCAGAAATGGATGTGGTTTCCCAATGTCTCCCTAAGATTTTACATTCCAACAAGTTTTTGCTCAACTCTCAAGCCATCTCAACACCAACCAAATCCGAACGGCAGATTCAATTGCCCCCTCGAATTCTGAAACAATCGTCGAAAACAACACCACCAGCCATTCCTACTCCAACCACCAAACCCATGTCGACCAACCCAAGTACTAGCAGCCACACAACCTCCGATATTTTGCGCTTAATGGATAGCCTTTCCCTTCCCATACCACCTGATATATATGCTTCCCTGATCAAAGAATGTACCATCACCCGCCACTCCCGGAGGGCTCTCGAGTTACATGCACACGTCAAAAAGAGCCGTATCAAGCTCTCCTTACCTTTGCTTAACCGCCTCCTTCTCATGCATGTCTCATGCGGTCACCTGGAACTTGCCCGTCAGTTGTTCGATCAGATGTTTCTTAGAGACTTCAACTCTTGGGCAATCATGATTGTTGCATGTCTCCACGCTGGTGACTCTGAACAGGCTATTGCTTATTTCGTGCTTATGGAACAGCGCAATCTTATCTTCAAATTTCCTGCTTGGATCATCGTATGTCTTCTCAAGTCATGTGTTTTGACAAAGAATATGGAATTAGGAAAGCAACTGCATGGGCAGTTACTCAAGTTGGGTATTGGCAATGATTTGTCTCTATCTGGGTCCTTAATCAACTTTTATGGAAACTTCAGTTGCCTAGATGATGCCAACTATGTATTTAATCAATTGTCGCGACGTAATACTGTGACTTGGACAGCAAAAATCGTAAATAGCTGTAGGGAGGATCAATTCAGTAAGGTTATTGATGATTTTATTGAGATGGGCAGACAGGTTATTAAGAAAAATAGCTTTACTTTTTCAAGTGTTTTAAAGGCATGTGCTGGGATGAATGATGACGGCATGTCCGGTCGGCAGGTTCATGCCAGTGCTATCAAGCTTGGTTAGAATCAGATGTTTTCATACAATGCGGATTGATCAACATGTATGGTAAATGCAGATTGGTGAAAGATGCTGAAAAGGCATTTGAGATTGTTGGTGATAAAAGAAACATTGCATGTTGGAATGCCATGCTTCTGGCTATGTACATAATGAGTTCTGTATTCAGGCCATTAAACTTCTGTATCGAATGAAAGGAAGCTGGAATCAAGGTTCAAGAATCATTGATCAATGATGTAAGGATTGCTTGTGCTAGTACAAAACTAGAAATATGACAGAGATAGCTGAATCACGAACTTGTAAATCATATATTTATTGTCAAGTGATGTTGTCTCACATCTTTAAAGTTTAGGATTACATGTGATCTTATACTCAATTTGGGTCTCACCACCTATTACAATTGATTTTAAATTTGATGCTTAAAATGATATTAGAATCAGGTTCTCTTATGTTCTTTCTGCTTTGTATCTCTTCTGAACACTTGATAGTTATGCTCATATGTGGTGGGTACATGCGTTTATATCTTTCTGAGTTTGTTACATGGTAGCTGCGCCTACGAGTGACTTCACTTTGGTTAAATCTTGAAATGTCTGCGATCGTATATTGAAATTGGATTTTTTCATTTATTGCCAATCGATTTTTTGTCTAATGTTTAACATTGCTATACTTTCAACTCTTGTATGTCATTGTATATATGCTTTGTATCAACGCCACAAATTGCAGATTATTATTTATGAACTTTAACACGAAGCCAGCTACTATTATATTTGGGCATTGCGATGGGTGAGCATGTTTTTTTCCCAAATAATGTTGCAAGAACATTAAAACTTAAGGTTAAAAGAGCAGTGGTTGATCTCCCATATACTGTCACAAATGAGCTGCTGAAATGTGAAATTGAGGAGGAAAAGAATTTCACGAGCAACAACCATTCCTTGAGGAGGAAAAGAATTTCACGAGCAACAACCATTCCTCTGAATATGAAATTTAGATGTCCATTTACTGGTTTTAATTTCATATATAATTGAATGTGGATTGTGCAATTGTATGTTTTCATGCAGATGTTTTAAATTGATTTTTTTTTAAATAAATATTAGTTGCCTTATGGTAGGCTAGCTGATATGGATTGGTTCATCCGGAACCAACATAATCACAATTTAACATGATTTTATTAAAAAAAAAAAAAGCTTAATGTACAAATTGTATTCCTGATCATATCCAACAAATTAGCAGAATAGAGGACAGCAAATCAAAATGATGGAAAACTCCCTGCTTTTCCTCAGGAGGCTATAATTTGCACTCAAAATTATATCAAGTCTACATAATTAATTTACTTGAATTTTCTAAACTATAAACAGTTATATTATATATTAACTTTCAAATTTATTAAGTTTGTAAATAACTCACCCATTCACTAGTCTACTGTAATGACAGGTTCAGAATTTTTTTATTAGTGTGTTCACTTATAATATATTTAATACTATTATAAGTAAAATTTTGAAATAATATATTACAAGAATTATCAATAAAAAAAATATTTTAAAAAATTTAATTGAATCATTATAATAATTATCAAAACATTTTTACTCAAAAAAATATTCTAGAAGACGAATTTACATGGATTTTGGGATTTTTGGTAAATTAAAATCTTTTTTAAACTATAAAATATCATTTTAGAAGGAATTTTTCAAAAAATTTGCATTTTCCCCCACAGATAGATTGTAAAAAACTTGAATGAAAAGGATTTAGAAATAGGATAAAAATAAATGTACTTTTTAGTGAACTTCTTATTTTAAAAAAAATTTGCGAAATATCAAATATTAATATTTTGGTTTGACCTTTAATTTTGAAACGATAACTAGTAAAAAACCTAAGAGGTTTTTCTCCTTTGAAAGTTTTATCAA